ATAAATGTGATGTTTATAATGAACTTATGTTATATTTGCAGATGTACATTGAGAAAAAATATTGGATGTTTGTAACTATAATCACGTAGAGAAATAATAATTACTATAAATTATGGCTGAGAAAACCATTTTTAAAATAAAATTTTACTATAATAAAATAAAATTTAAAATTTTACTATAATAATTATAATAACTATAATAATCATAATAATTATTTAAAATGTTACTATGATAAAATAAAATTTTACTATAATATTAATATGATAATAACACTATATGTATGTCATTACTATACCATTTTACTGCAAAGAAATATAGCCGGGGCCTATAGAATAATTACAATTTTAATTAGATCAACTATTTATTTTCTCTTAACATATAAACGTATGAAAGATACAAGTAACATTTACTTGAATACAGTATTTTTTTCTATGTGTTTTTTTCTATAAAAACTTTATAATCATTCGTAGAAAAAAATTATTTGATCACATTTTGATTAGGGTTTATCTGACGACACTCTTTCTCCGCTCCTAAAAATATCTAATATAAATTCTACTCGCAGACATCTGCGTCACATCGGCCGAAAAACAAGATAATTATCTTGTTTTTCGGGATGATTCTCGTCGGTAGATATCTTAGGCTGGGAACACAATACGCCGTATGTCGGAATTGTACGAGTCGGAATACAGCTAATGGTTCAATGAGAGAATTTATTTTTCGAGAATGAGCTCTCCTCATTGGACCATCGGCTGCGTTCCCACATTCAACTCCGATATACGGCGTATTGTGTTCCAGGCCTTAGACTCACAGGCTTGGTAAGAAAATAAGAAGAGCGATATATTCCAATGCCGTCACGCTTACCTCGCGTTATATCACCGCGGCGCGTAATTTGTGCCGACGCTCGTAAACTGCAGCAGGTAACGTCACTCGGGAGAGTTGCGAGACACGCGCGAGGAAGTTCTTAAAACGAATTCATACCACCCCCACGAAGGTCGGCGTCCACCATCCACTCATCCACCCACCCACCCACCTACTCTCTCATTCTTCTCCCGACGCTTTCCCCGAACCCTCTGCCCGCGGCGGATGTCGGCTCGAATTTTCGCGGAGGCTAAACACACACCGGGCGAAAGGGCCAGTAAGGATGAATGTTTTCAAGAGGAACAGGCCTCCGGGGCCTCGCGCGCACGCAACACGAGCACGTACGGGCTGCGACGATTAATATTAATCCACGGGGAAGGAGGCAACATTAATATCAATGTGGAGTACGGTGGCGCGAGAAGGTGGAGCAGAAAATCCCACGGAGCGGGCGCGGAGCGTTGCGGGAAACGGCAAGTTCCGCGGTAGACTTGATGAAGTCGGAAATGGTAATTTAGGAGTCCCGTTGTTGCCGACAATGCCTGCCGTTCCGCACTTCCGAGCTGCTGGAGCAGGACCCGCAAAACGCGTGAAGTCACGCGCTCGCCGTGCCTGAACATTAGTTTTTGGGATAATTATGCCACGAAATTGATGTTGTAATTAAAGTCGTAAGCGGCTGTTCGCGGTCTATTTATTGTGATTATATCGGGGCTGCGAGGTGTCGCCGTCAAATTGTCGCATATGCCGCTCGCGCTCCCGCAACATATTGAGTGCGTCGCGTCGGGAAACGCACGCGGGCGTTTGAATTATTACTTTTGCTCAGTGGAGCGATGTTTGAATAGGCAAGGTTGGGAACACAATGCAGTCTACTAAATTTCGACGGAACGATCCTGAATTCGTAATTTCGCCTTTCTTCGGTGTCTGTTATCAGTGCCGTGGAGCTCGGCGGAGCAGTCTCTGCAAGGTTCTTGTTCTCGTGAGGGGAGTCTCGGCCGGCTGGCGTGTTTTGTTTTCATTAGCCCGGGCTGTTTACTCGCGCGACAAGCTCAAGACGGAGCTTCGATACTTCTGCCTGCACAAAAACTCCATTTGCACAAGTTTCACAAACCGGGAAACGACCGCGGAAAATCCGCTAACTCTCCGTGAAAACAGAGATGATAGTCGTATAGCAAAACGTATCGTAAACCTCTTAGAGAAGTCGACGTAGGAGACGTGATTTTCGTTCAATCTCAGTTATCGTTCAATCTGCTCGGCGAATCTGCTCCGAACGTAACGCTCCTGGAAAACTACGAATTTATTCATGAGGCCTATCGCGTCCAATCTTTATCGATTATGGCGATTCACCCGATCTGCTTCCTTCCGATTCAACTGTTACACGAGCGTGAAAGATTATTTCTGGCGCAAATCGCCCGAGAAAAATGTCAATTGTCCAAACTTCGTTAAAAGCAAGATCTATCTATACCCGAAAAATCTATACAGAAATACATACTGCATTCAAATAAATGTCACTTGTTTTAAATATTTCATAAGTTCATGTATTGTTAAATCTATCATAAGTGCATTGTAAACTTCAAATTCGTTCAAAATAAATTCTGAATCTTAGCGCGCTCAGCGTTTCCACTAAAAATATCAAATTAAAACGAAAATTTGCTTGATCTGACTCGGGCTTGCGCCGCGTTCTTTATGAAAATTTAAAAAACTTTATAATTTTGGGAAAGTTACTTTTATGAGGGAACAGAAAACGTTAACTCAAAGTATGCTTTAGACAAGATACGCACATCCAACTTCTTTTAAAGACCGAATTTTAAAAATTCGAAAATTATTTTCAAATTTAGGAAAGTTACCGAAAAAACAGGAATGACGTTCATCCAAAGTGTTCGCACATTCTTATATGCACGGTAAACCCCATTGCGTACGCGCGAGAAAGCGGCCCTACTACTAACACTGCGCTAGACCTCAATCTTTGAAGAGCAATTTTCGAAAATTTCAAAAGTTTTCTTCGAGATTTTGGAAAAGTTACTACGAGAGAACAAAAAACGTTCACCCAAAGTATGTTCCAGGCGATAATGCACTCGGAGAACATGAAGTCTGGAATGCAACTTGTAGAACCGAGGGAGGAAGGAGGGAAATTAGTACTTTTACTTTAACATTCTTGTAAAAATAATATATACTTTCTTAAGTATGTAACGAACTTTTCTCAAATTTATGATGAATATGTTTTCAGACTATTATCAAGGACATATTCTTTATTGAAGATGACTATTGCTTAAAAGAGGAAAAATAAACTGAGTTATCGCTTTTCTTAGTAGTAGAAAATGATATTTGTGTGTGTATGTATGTATGTATGTATGTATGTATGTATGTATGTATGTATATATGTAATATTGTGCAGTCGACAACAATGTAACGAAAATACGAAGAAAGTATATTACTGAGATATCTCGCAATTCATCAATCAACATTTCGAATATCGTATGGATGGCGACACGTGATGCGCGTAAGGGTGCAAATTTCGAAAACGGACGTCGGGAAGGCCAAGTTAAGCCGACCGTCGTTACTCTTAATAGAATGCCGTTTTCAACCCTTTCGCGGTGCGCGGGAATACGCCGCGGTATTAATAATACTTAGGCAACGGGTTCGCGCGTTATTAAATCAGCCGGGCCGTGTTGTCCGCCCCGAGGAAATAAGTTCTCCCTTCTCCGAAATGCATTTCGGGATGTCGCCTCGGAGACAGGAGCTCGACCGCGCGCTATAATAAATAATTCACGGCGCATCTTTCAGAACGTCTGACTTATGATGGATGCCTCCACTTCGCAGCGCCGAGGGCTGCGAGCCCAAATGTACCTCAACGCACGGTGCCTCGAGTCCTTTTGCAGAGTTCGGTTTAAGGTAGAAGTGCCCGTATAATGGACGTCGATTTCATTAGCGGAACCGCGAGAAATTTACATGGAATCACAAAATAAATTGTTCGCGTTAATTGTCCTCTTTTTTGACATTCATAACGTTGTGCATTCGTTTTAGGATTATTCTCGGCGTTTCCAACGATTTCTTTGACTCTCTTGCAATTTTTGACAACTTGTATAGTCCAAAATATGGATGAAACGTGCACGCGATAATTATATTCCTCTGCAGAATAACAATCACCAACCAGAATCACATATTTGAACACGTAACAGTAGCGTTTTCGACGCGGGCTGAATCAATGCAATCGGTTTCGTTGGAAAAGAGAGAGAGAGAAAGAAATAATCAAATATATTTATTCAATTATTTTATGTTTGTGTGTACATATGCACACATTTATGATCTTTTGTCAAAAGAATTTCTTTGTTTACAAATAAATAAGTAAATAAATAATATATAAGTAAATAAATAACCAAATATATATATATATATATATATATATATATATATATATATATATAAAAGCCAATAAAAGCCGACATAAGATATCGATTGGAAAATACAAATAAACCAAGAAAAAGGACATAGAACGTTCTGAAAAATCAACCAAACGTTTTGGTCGTCATTTCGATCTTCCTCAGTGAAAATGGAAGAAATAAATTTTTAAATCTTTTTCATTACTTTGCGCGTATCAAATTTGCGTTTTCCATTTCGACATTGTCATTTTGGTGCCCTCTTGGAATGTCCTTTAGACTTTCTATATTTGTAATAAGTGTGTAACCATATACTACTTGTGCATCGTTTATTTTTTCCCCATTTTCCATTATATCTACAAATAAACCGTTTCTAGGCTCATTTACGGATATAATGTGTTTCGACATCTTGTGTGCACTAAAAGAAAGAAATGATCTAACTGAAATTATAGTTATTTTTGACTTCAACTATATTTTTCGACTGTTATAACACGAAAATATTAGTCGTAATATACAAGATTATTATAACTAAAGCATCATGGTAGGATTTAAAACAGTCACCATAATTTATAATAATTATTTCTCTATGTGATATAATGTGGGCTTTTATTAGCTTTTTAAATCTATATTTGATAGTGTATCTGAGAGAGAATTTGATAATTTATCCAGTGTTTCTTCTTAGACAGAAAATAAAATTCTGCGACTGCACTGAACTCTTGCCAATATTTATTACGGGGTGAATTGTTAGAAGAAACGTCGATATCCACTAACGTGTATCGAAATGCTCTTCGGCAAGTTCGTCTGGAACAGTACAACCGTCACCTTCGAACTGTCAAGGCAGATCCTCTCGTTCCCTCCTCTCGTCGCGCGACCGGCTGCACTTCGCTCCTAGAAAAGTAGAAAGGAACGTCTCGCTCGTGGGGCGGCCTGAATCTTTAACGAAAGCGCAGTTAGTAACCAGAGAAGTACAAATGGCTAGCGCCTTCGTCCATCGATTATTCACGCGGGGTCACGTTAAATATGTACGCTTCCACGGGGATCGAGCAGCCGAGGGGGATGCCGAGGGGGATGCCGAGGGGGTGGCTTCCTCGACGGCGAGGCGATAGGGAAGGAAACTGAGTTTCACAGTCGGCTGTCTCTCGCCTTGACGCTCCCATCTCCGCTCCGAACCCTCTCCCGCCCCCGTTCTTGTACTAAAAACGAGGGGGCAATCGACCCCGTCTATGCCCCGTCGGGGGACCGGCGAATTAAAGAACGCGACCTTGACTCCGCTGACCTACATTGGGGTCGATGCACATGACGGGGTGCATATTTTCTGCGTGATCGCGCGATTAGGCGCGATGAATCGCTCGGCGGCGGTCTCCGCATCTCGGTCGTGGGAAGGCAGTCGGCTGATCGAAGTCACGTGAGGCAACTTTTTAATATCCGGCGCCAGGCATGCCAGGTAAAAGCTAACGAATTCAGCTCGAATTGGGTGGATGAATCTGATGAGTTTTCAAAAATATATCTCGCAGACAGATAAAAATTTCTCCACACTCTACATATTTAAAAAGTAGATATATGTGGACACTAATTAAAGTACGAAGAGAGCAACGACCTTTGAAAGATGACTTATGGTTGTTTGGTGCAAGTAGATTACTATTTTATGTTACAGGAGGATTTCGTTTAGACGAGTGATGACGCGCGCGTTGGATTATTCTTCAGACTGTGAGACGTGCACAGCAAATCTGCTCTCCTTGTCACACTATCTTTTAGTTCTAAATTAATTTTAAACGTTAATTAGACATTAATAAAACGCTAATACCTAAATTAATAAGGAATTACATTCACTTATTTTTAATCACGCGTCGGTAATCATTTTTAAGGATGAATCAATTAATGCATAAATTTAGCTCCTCATTAATTTGAAAATGGATATTTTGGGGAAATGGTTATTAATATCTTAAATAATTTAGGAGTAAAAGATAGTTTGACGGCGAAAACGGACACAGTACAGAACCATCTTCCTAATACCAATATACGAATACCAATTAAATAAAAAGTCGCACGAACTTGGATAAGATTATCGAATAAACCTGATTCTTGGCAACATTTTGATTTTAATTTTCTAAAAATTCTTTTCTCAAAACATATTTCCCACAAACGACAAAATATACAATATAGAAAGAATCAACAACAAGGTATGTTTCTGCAATTAAAAATTAATATTTTCGAATAATTAGAAAGCATGAGTTTTACAAGAGCGAATTTTAATAAAAAATAAATATTTTGGATTGGAATCTTTCGTAAAAGATGGCAAAAAATTGTCTCGAAAAGAGTGACACATATATTATCAATTAAAATTGTTTTTAGCAAGAAAAAAATTCATTGCGTTTAAAAATCCGCGCGAACTTATCGATCAACCCGATACATTGTTTGATCGTAATGTAATTGATTTCATCGATGTCTGAACTAACAAGGATATCCGTTTCAAACCGTTTCAATCCGGTCAAAGTGTTGGCGCATCAAAATTAACATACGCGCGACTAAAATCTCCTTCGTACCGTCGGATTATTACAATCTCTTATCGCGTTAGAGCACACGTTTGCCGGCGAGTTATGGTGATCTCGTTATCGGCGTTAATTCCGCCAAATAAACGTGTCTGAGGACACGTATGTACGAGCCGCACGCGTAATCCCTGCCCCGACGAACCGAGCGAGTAGTCGTTAAATCCGTCTTAGGCATCTGCGACAATCGGCCGTGCGTTTACCTCTCTCTCTCCCCCCCGCCCCCTCTCATTCTCTCTGTGTGTGTATGTGTGTCTCGGCGACACGCCTCGCACGGACGGCCCTAACGCGCGTTAGGAGAAGTCAAGAAGATTTGTGGACCGTACGGAGGGTGTGCACTCGTGTCTAAAGCTTTGCGAGCAGAAAGCACCGGCACTAAAATCGCACGCGCGTCTTAGGGTGAATTTCGGCTCGCAGGAATGCTTCCGCGCATTTCGTCAAGGTCTATTATCTGGGATCGTGTGTGGGATCGCGTGTGTATCGAAAGCTGATGTGAGAACTGCAAAAGTAGTAATTTTGCGTATCATAAACGTAAGAGAAAGATATAATGGCTTGCCTAGATATTTCTTCCGAGTGTTACACGCGTTCAGGATATAGTTCCGGGAAAATTCATCCTTCTCAAATTTGATAAAATATCCCTAATACTTTCAAATGAACTTACGTAAAATGTCTTTTGACAGAATTGAAAATTAACTGAAATAACGTTAAAATGATAAATGTCTGGTTATTTCCAATAACTTACACGTTGCAGTTGTGGAATAATTTTACCCCTGAGATATGATCCCTGTAGAGGGTTTAACTACACGTGTAATGTCCATAGACACACTTGAGCGATTACACGAACAGATGTGCGTGCACATGTAGAGGAAAAATGCATAGAGTAAAATATCTAAGAAATAAAAGAAACATTTATTTGATAGGTGTACTAATAACATATTTCCTTATACTCTAGCATAAAATTTTTTCAAGTAAGAAAATAGATATTTTCCTAAAACTTCAGCTTTTTTCATAGAAATAATTGTTTATTCTATTTAAATAAAAGCATGTAGATTTAAGTAAATATGTGTGTTATTAGTACCTATTAAATAAATATTTTTTATTTTTCATATATTTTTCTCCTAATGTGATGGATATTTGTATATGTATTAAGGACAGTGCTTAATTTGCTAATTTTTTTATATAGCAATACACGTATGGAAGTGAGATAAGGTCATCACTACCCCTTAACCTAACCTAACTTAAACTGTATCACTACACAAGTATAAGTATTATTTTAATGTTTGGTTAGGTTAGTTTTAAATTGCACTAAAAAACTTTTAGATATATTAATTTAGTAATGTTTGAGAAACTGTTTTCCTGAATTTTTCATAAGAATTGTGGATGGTGGGTCTTTTTGGACCTGTAACCCGAATTCAAATTCGTGAATAAAGTACCGTCATTGAAATTAAAATTGTCCTTTTAGGATCAGTCGTTAATATAAATTGATATCGACTATGTAATATTTAAAATATTTACTTATCCGCGTTTCAATATCGCTTTTCACATTAACCATACGCAAACGGGAGCGATCAACTTGGTTAATGCTTAAAATTGTTCCTTGATCAATTAATTGATCAAACGACATTTTCGAGTTCAACGTGCGCACAGAAACGACTGGAAATATCCTAATTCGAAATTCATTACGTGGGAATACAGAATATCTAGAGCTAGTTAAAGTTTAAGAATGCGAGCTTAAGCACCTCCTTCGCCGGTGTGTTTCATCATGGGGACTGCGGATCTTGGGTTTAAGCCACTGTACGATTTACGCGTAAATCCACCTCCCTAGCGTGTTCCTTCTTCCCCGTCGGTGCGCGTAAGCGCAGAAGACTCAAACGTTTATATCAGCCTCCGGTGGCAGCGGGGAAGCGGACAGGGCCGAGATAGAAGAGTCGAGATTTGCAGCTTCACCAGCTGGGAATTATACACGAGGGTAGATCCCTTTGGGCAGATAGCCGCGACAAATTTCAAGAAAAATATGTCCCTCCCTCTCCCTCCCCTTCGCTGTCACGTCCACCCTAGACAACGTCCTTCCTCTCGCAACCCCGACGCTACGAGAGCTCGTGTTCGCGGCCGCACCATGTAGCGGAGCGAATGCTGATGAGAAAAATATCTAAACGTAGATCAACCGCGGCCAACTGTCTCGTTAAACTGCCAAAGTGTCCCGGACATGGGCATTACGAGGCATCGAAGGGGACCGGGACCCCGACGAGGTCTCCCCTGTGTACGGCAAGACGAAGATGAGGAAGGAGAGATGAAAGGCGTCACGAAGACGTCAGACGGAATGGCGGGCTTCAGGACGAATTTGCGAGTCGCCTTCAAGTATCTGCATGTATATACGCAGGCCATCCTACGCGTTTCAACCCTAAGACATCGAGGGGTTGGTGAAATAATATTATCACGAGCACGCTTGACACCTGAGATATATAAATATAATATAGAAACTTTAGAAAAAATAATTGAAAAGTGCATGTTGTATTATTAAATTAAACGACAAACAAATCAATATAATGAACTGAAATATAGCAAAATAGTAACCATTTCAGCTTACAATCTTTCTCGTTTTAATTATTGGCGGGAACAATTTTAGTATAACGTTTTGCTTAGTTTTTTTGTATTACTATGTATCAAACAAGAAACAAACTAATATAATGAACTAAAATATCAAGAATAGCAAAGCGTTTCAATTCTCGTGACTGCGTTTTGTTTACTGACGGAAACAATTTCGGTATAACGTCTTGCTTAGTCTTTCCCGTATCATTGTATCAAACAAACCGATATAGTGAACTAAAATATCAAGAATATCAAATCGTTTACAATCTTTCTCATGACGTCTCGTTTAGTCTTTCTCTGCTGCATTGCCATCCTGTCTGCAGTGATACTAGACGGAGGAAAATGCGACTAAATGAAATTAGCGACAAGCCGCGTAGCCGCAAGCGGCCTTCGTAGGAGAGTCTGTAGAAAAATATCCGAGCAAGGATCAGCGTTACGACGACACGCGCGGATTCAGCGGGCACAAGTGTAGGAGGATGTTAATAAGTGACTCGTGCAATCATAACTCTTAATAAGCGAGGCAAGCAGCGCTCTTAATGGCGCTTCGCCGACTCGTGACTCGTCGGAGTGCACTTTCGTGTTCCGGATGGATAGTCCGGCGTGTACATACGGGCGTCTCGGGATACAATCAACTCGTTTGGAGGATGCGTCGCGACTTGTGTCCCACTCTTCAGCGAGACAGGGTCTCTGTCCTGGTGACGAGGAGAGACGCGTGAAATAATCTCTCACCGCGTTTCGTCGTCTCTCGGCGGA